AAGATAATGGTGATGGAATAATTTGGAAAAGGATAGTGAGAATAGCAGCACAACTGGAAGAATGTAATCAATGTCACTGAATTGTACATGTAGAAATTTTTGAAATGGTGTATCTCTGGCTATGTATATTTCCACCAAAAAAGAACAAAGGTTGAGAAGGGAGAGTGTTGACATGTTGTGGGGTTGTTAACCAATGTCATAAAACAATATGCGTTCTGACTGGTTGTAATGAGAAACTATTTGTTCTGTAAACCTTCACCTAAAGTACAAGAAAAAAGAAAAAAGATGGATTAGCAGCTGTTATACTAATGAGGTACAAGATTAGATAGTGTCTTAAGTCATTCTTTTTTGAGATATAAAAGAGAGAAGCAAACAGACACATGGGAACCTCATGCCACCAAGAAAGCAGTGCTGGGAGCAGAGTGCATCTTTTGGACCTGAGGTTCCTGTGCAGAGAGGCTCCTAGACCAAGGGAAGATTGATGACAGGGACCTTCCTCCAGAGCCAACAGAGAAAGCCTTCCCCTGGAGCTGAACCCCTGGGTTTGGACTTGTGGCCTACTAGACTGTGAGAGAATAGACTTGTCTTTGCTGGAGCCATCCACTTGCGGTGTTCCTGTTGTAGCAGCACTAGATGACTAAGACGTTGAATAAGCATTAAACCAGAATGTGTGGTGCATCCCAGGCAATCCCATAAAGAGATTGCAATGAAGGAAGTCTTAGCCTTTAAATAGCTAAGTGGGTACAACTCATTACATTGATTTTTAAGATAAAATTGCCAATTTTCCAGTATCTTTATGGCAGGATACCTGAAGTTATGCTAATCTTCTTCCAGGAAACAGGAAGATAGGGGAGGCTCACCTGAAGTTACATTTCAAAGAGATAATCTTTGAGGAGACCTGTTAGATTTACATACTTTTTGAAGAGACAAAGAAAGAATTTACAGTGAATTCTGGAAGAATGGAGGAGGAGGGACCTTTATTCTTAACAATAACCAAACCAAACCCACTGCCATAGAGTAAATTGTATCTCATAGAGACCCTGTAGGACAAAGTAGCAATCCTATAAGACAGGGTTGAACTGCCCCATAGGGTTTCCAAGGAGTGGCTGGTGGATTCAAACTGCCAACCTTTTGTGTAACAGCTGAGCTCTTAACCACTATACCACCAGGGCTCCTGTTCTTAACAGGGAGAATCAAAACCTCTTATTTTCAATTTGTACTTTTCCTTACAAGACTCAACCGGAAACCCCCATATGTTGAGGCCGTAGATGTTGAGTTTCTTCTGTGAGTTCCCCAGCACTGACTATTCAGTCACCAACTACTCACGGTAGGACTCCTTAGAGGAACCTGTAGGATCGTCAAACTGCGTGGTCAGTTCAACACAGGGCCAGAAAGGACATTCTTTTTAAGCAAAAAGTCCCAGCCCCTTAGAGCCAAGAGGAAATAGTTCCCAAAAGAAAAAAGCCAAGAATGTGACTTAGGATTTTTTAAGACATTGGCCTGAGGGAAGTTATTCTCATTTCCTCGTCAACCAAAACTATCTTGAATATCAAAATCACATGCCTGGTCAGCGGACCCTGAAGATAAAATGTCCAGCTCTCCAAAGGGAATGAACAGGTGGGAGAGCAGCGTTTTGGTCCCCTATTCAGGTGCCTGCACCCTGCTACTCTTCCCCTTCCGGCACCTGGCTCTTGCGGTGGGTCTGGTTTTCTTTGCTGGGACTTTGAAAGTCTTCAGTGTTGCAGATGGTGGGAGAGTGGGTGGGGAGGGAGGGAAGGCAGGTGTTGCTGTTTGGTGACAGAACCAAGAAGACCTCAGAGAGTTCAGAAGAACTCAGCTTAGTTCCTCCCCTCTTCTGGCCCCCTGTCCCCACCATCATGCCCCCTGGGAATCCCACCCCTGGCTGCCATACAGACCCCTTTGACTGTAGAATGAGAAGAGAAGAGAGGTGGGGCTGAAGGAGGAGTCCGTGTCATCTGAAATACAGAAATAGGGTGCAAGCCCTTCTCTGCCTTCCCAGCTCCTTGAGGAAGCTTCTCGGGGCCTTTTCTGGGGCCTCTCCCATCTGATTCTCTGTGAACATCCCCTGTCTGGTCTTAAAAGCTTGTGAGTGGCCATCTAAGATACATCAGTTGGTCCCAGCCCACTTGGAGCAAAGGAGAATGAAGAACACCAAAGACACAAGGAAAACATTAGCCCAAGAGACAAAAGGGCCACATAAACTAGAGACTTGATAAGCCTGAAACCAGAAGAACTAGATGGTGCCCAGCTACCACCTGACAAGGAACACAACAGAGAGTCCCTCACGGAGTGGGAGAAAAGTGTGGAACAGAACTCAAATTCACATAAAAAGACCAGACTTAATGGTCTGACCAAGACTGGAGGAAACCCAGAAGCCACAGCCCCTGGATGCTCTGTTAACCCAGAACTAAAACCATTCCCGAAGACCACTCTTCAGACAAAGATTAGATTGGACTATAAAACAAAAAGTAATACACGTGAGGAGTGTGCTTCTTAGTTCAATGAGATACGCAAAGCCAAATGGGCGGCTCCTGTCTGGAGGCAGGATGAGAAGGCAGGAAGGGACAGGAGCTGGTTGGATGGATACAGGGAATCCTGGGTGGAAAGGGGGAGTGTGCTGTCACATTGTAGGGATTGCAACTAGTGTCACATGACAATGTGTGTATGAAATTTTATATGAGAGATTAACTTGAACTATGAACTTCCACCTGAAGTACAATAAAAAAGAAAAATGTCTCCTGTATTACTTGCTTGATTGTGGGCTTCCCAAGAACTCCACTGGTTGAATTTAGGACATTTCCTGGCACCTGTGGATGGACTTAGTAGTCCTTGGGTGGTGCAAATGGTTAAGTGCTTGGCTGCTAACCAAAAGGTTGGAGGTTCAAGTCCACCCAGAGGTGTCTCAGAAGAAAGGCCTGGAGATCTACTTCTGAAAAATCAGCCCTTGAAAATGGAGCACAGTTTTACTCTGACACACATAGGGTTGCCATGAGTCGGAGTCAACTCGAGGGCAGCTGGTTTGGTTTTGGTTTGGTGAGTGGACTGAAAGCGCCTTGGGCAGCTCAGAGTGACAGGAGCCTGCTCCTGGGGTTACTGGGTTTAGCAAATAAAAATACAGGGTGCCTAATGAAATCTGAATTTTTGATAAACAAGTGACAATTTTTCAATATGCCTCCAGGCTCCTTGTCCAGGTGGCAGTGCAGGGAGACAATTCTGTGTTTTGGTGCCCCCCTGTGCCCAGGTGACACGCACAGCAGGCGCTGCCCACAGGTCCCCAGGCTACATGGGGACCGTGGGGCCTGGCCATGGTCCGGCTCCTCCTGGCTCTGCAGCAGCCCAGTCGGAAGCACCCCCCAGAGCCCGGAGCCCGTGGGCTGAGTTCTCTGTCCTCCCTGCAGCCCTCCATGACGCCAAGCCAGGAGAGTGGTTGTCGGCGGGACCCCAGAAGGACCCTCGCCTGCCCCCCGCCGGGGCCTCCAGCCAGGACCCGGGCAGTGGAGAGACCGCCAGGTAGGGACGGGGTGTCACAAGGCTCATACCTGCTCGGACGCCATGGTGAGAGCAGAGCCACAGTGGGTGCAGAGATGCAGGAGTTCTGGGGATCTCCTGGAAGCCCCGCCGAGGACAAAGGATTGGGTCTGAGTGTGGAGCCGGTGGAGTAGACCACCACACCCGGTAACCTTAGCAGCATCAGAGCCCAAGGGGAGGGGACCTGCTGCACGGAAAACATAGTTGTCAGACTTGATGGAGAGGAGCATGTAAACATGCCTGAAGGACTAGTTCGCAGAACTGCCAGGGGACCTCGGGGCCCTGATGGTGCAGTGGTTAAGGGCTAGGCTGCTAACCAAAAAGGTCAGCAGTTCGAATCCACCAGCGGCTCCTTGGAAACCCAATGGGGCAGTTCTACTCTGTCCTATAGGGTGGCTATTAGTGGGAGTCGACTCCACAGCAATGAGTTTGGTTTTCTGAGGTTAGGGGACCTTGTAATAGGAGTCCCTGAGTGGAGCAAACAATTAACGCAGTTAACTTGCTCAGCTGCTAACAGAAAGGTTGGAAGTTAGAGTCCACCCAGAGACACCTTGGAAGAAAGACCTGGCGATCTACTTCCAAAAATCAACCACTGAAAACCCTGTGGAGCACAGTTCTACTCTGACACACATGGGGGTCGCCAGGAGTCGGAATCGAATCCACAACAACTGGTTTTTCAGGTGAACGTGTTCAGAGGGATGTGTACATCCGGTGACCTGAGGGTAGAGTCCTGTCTTAGCTGTTTGCTTGTGGAGAAGGCGAGATGGAGGGAGGAAATGAGTTGGGAGCCCTCAGATGGAGAGCCAGGCTAGTGACGTGGTTTGGCTCCGTGTCGGCTCCTAAAACAGAACTAAGGAGGGTTTCTCTTCCTCTTCAGCAAATGGGCACAGCCTGGCGCTGACGGGTCACTGGGGGTCTTTCGGATGTGAGGAGACTTGCTTTGGGAGGGAGGCCCTGGCTGAGGTCTCGGGCCCACCCTGCGTCCTGACCACCAGGCACGGCTGCCTCACCCCTTCCTCCTGGCTGCTGCAGCGCCGTCCGGACAGAATCACCCCAGGGTGGAGGTGCCCCCTGCACTGAAGTACTGGGTAGAGTGGGTTTAAAGTGTCTGCAGTAGGGGGACCTGGAGTCTCTGACTTAGAGGAATGTGGACGCGGTGAGGCCCCGGCATTCCGCACCCTCTCTTCTTGTAGAATGGGGAAGGAGTAAGCAGGCCTGCACATCCCCAAGGTCACAGATGACCTTGGCTAGATGAGCAGGTCCATCCCTGGGGGATCCGGTTAGACCTGGAAGAGGTCTGAAGCCCCTGCCCTTCCCTCCTGGGACCGAGGCTCTGCCCTTCCCGCAGGCTCCCACCCGGCCCAGAGGTGCAAACCCCACAGAAGCAGAAATTCCTGCTCACTTCCAGAGGCCACAGGAACACCTACAGATGTCAGTGCGCTAAGAATGGGCAGGAAGAGCCAGGAGAAATCAGAGGAGGGGCCAGAGGAGAGAAGGGGGTGGAGAAAGGAGGAGGCACAGGAGAAAGGAGGTCCCCCGGGGTGTTGGACCCCACCCAGAAGCAGGTGTCACCCCTGCATCGTGTGTCCCTGTTGCCGTTGTTAGTACACAGATTGGTTGGAGGGGGATGCAAGGTAAGGGGGTGGGAATGCGTGGGAGCCCAGGAGCTGTGTGGGCTGAACTGGGTGGGAGTGGTTGGGACAGGGACTTGGGCAGGGCAGGGCTGGGCATCTCTAAAGGGGACTGGAGGTCGGTGGGGGGGACTGGCTGGCCTCAGGACCCAGGAACCACCTCTACCTGCCCCCACCCAGGCCTCTGGGACTGAGGTCTCTGGCCCTTGGTACCCACCTGAAACAGGAGGCTCAAAACAGAGAGAGAGAAGAGAGCTGCCTGGTGGCTCCAGGATCGGATCCTGTCCTGGTCCAGCCAGGCCAAACCTGTACTTCCCACTGCCAGACGGCCCTCTCCCCGGAAATCACTGTTTTCCTGTGGGCGGGGGGCTTGAAGGTTCTCTTCTTGGGGTATCCCCCCTTGCCACGCCCACTGGGCTCCCCAATGGGGCCCTCCAAGTTGCTTGGGGGTGCAGATGCCCCTCAAATTAAACCCCTGGGCCACTCCCACCTTCGTGTCGGTCGCTCAGCTTGACTTCTGCGGAGATCTGTGTGAGGGAGGGAGGATGGCAGGAGGGAGCTACACACTGTTCCTTCTCCTTCTCTCCTCCCCAGCTGGCCCTGGACCCCTGATGGGCTTTCTTTCCCCTCATCTACACCCGTCCCACCCTCCTCTTTACTGAGCCGGCTTCCACCCTTCCTGCGCCTGACCCCAAAGCCAGATCACGCACCCCATCACAGCCTGACAGCGTTGCTACTCCCTCGTGCAGGGGCACGAGCCTCACGCTGTTGTCCTGGGGTTCATGACGGTCCCCAAAGACCAGGACCATGTGAACGGTGTTTGTTACGTGCTCCCAGTGCGTAGCCCAGAGCAGGCTCTCTGTATGGCTTTGGTGGGGACACTTGTCCCCTTGGCTTTCCCAACCCCTCCTTCTCAGTCTTCAGGGTAAGGGCACCCCTGCCTCTCCCCCCAGAAGAGGAGCTAGGCATGGACACTGCCTGCCTGCTAAGGCCCCCACCCCTGAGCTGCAGCTAGGGTAACTGGTAGGCTGAATGATAGCACTGAGAGCTTAGCCCCACTTTCAGGGGACTTGAAAGATTAAAATCAGAGCCATTATTACCTGTCCTTGAGCATAAAGAATATGACCCAACTGGAGGTAGACTCACAGGAACTCACAAGGCCACATCGACTGGGCCCTGAGGTATAAAGACAATAGCTAGGACAGTCTTGGAAAACATCTTTTAGGGAAGCTTTCACATAAACAAATCATCAACAGCACAAAAGACCCACACGGTTTCCACTCTTACCTTTATTTACTAGCATTTAGTCAATAGTAAGACTTGTTGGACCAGTGAAGACCCTCCTGAGTGTGGTTACTGAAACCTGTACCAATGATTTTTAAGAAACACAATTCAAAATGTAAAATCACGTTGATTTAGCAGTTTCTAGCTGATCTGTGAAAAGGTGAGGCTTTCAGTGGTGTTGCCCATTTTGTAATGTTAATATATACCGATGACTCTACAGTGTTCCTTGGACTTGGGCGGACATGGCTCTAGCAGCACGCTTGTCCATTTTCCCACTTTTGCTTATTCTGTAATATTTCTTGGACTCGGGCAGACATGGCTGTGGCAGCGTGCTTGTCCGTTTTCCCATTCTTGCCTGCTCTGTAGTATTTCCTTGGACTC